GTGGGTGGATGGGGAGTGGCGGCCTCCTGTCTCTGATACGCAGGTCATGCAATGAGGGGACTGGAGCTGCTGCCCGTGGCAACCATTTAGAGCTCCCTGTTCCCAAAAACCTGGTTGGTTGCTATGGGCAACTGGCTTCAGATGTGTGCTAGGCCCTGACAGAGGGGGAGGTGATGGTAGTATACAGAGGAATGGGAGCAGCTGATTGTCAGCTCCTCGGCCTACCCTGACCTGTTCTTAAAGGGACAGGCCATCGTCCCCCGGATACAAAGCCAGAGGCGTCTACACGGGGTATAAAGGTGTACGTCCGGCCGCGCTGATCCCAGAGTCCTGTCCGTTTAAGAGCAGATGACGGTTCTTCATAACTCAATCCCTATCCTGGACAGAGGGCACCACACATGACAATCGAGGGGCCCATTTGCTGTACGCTTCGTATAATGTGCGGTGTCGAGGGCGGAGCCATGTGTTGTTACAAAGTATAACACTGGTTATTTTTCTCCTTTTTTATAACTTTATTGAAACATCACAAAAGGTCACTTCATTCATCTCAATGCACATCGGTGGGTCGCATTATTATTATTACATAGGATTTATATAGCGCCAACAGTTTGCACAGCGCTTTACAATATAAGGAAGACATTACAATCACAATACCATTCAAGACAAGATGGTAAGGAGGGCCCTGCCCCTGAGGGCTTACAATCTAAAAGAGGAGGGGGAAATGATAGATGAGGAGGTAGCTGTGGGAATTAATTATGTGAAATGTGTATCACTGCATTGTATCACTGCATTGTATCACATTGTGCGTCACATGTTTACACAACGGTGCGGGGTGAACGGGGCACACAGGGGGCCATTGTTTTCAAAAAACTACAACTCCCAGCATGCTGTGTTGAAGGTGACTGGGTAGAGCGGTGTAATGGAAGGAGTACATGCTCTGGATTGATGGTGTTTTCTGTCTTCTCGTCATTTTAGTGGAAAGTTGACGACAAGCCGGTAAAAGTTGACAAATGGGACGGATCTCCGGCCAAAAACTCCTTGGATGACGCGGCCAAAAAGGTAATCCGCACCTATGAGGAAAATCCTTCCAGAGGTTTAACAAATGGCCGTCGTCTCCCCGGGGTGGCCTATCCTTATGTATGTTGATGAGTTGTGGATGGACCGCGTCTAGCGGCGTCCTTGGGCTCTGGGTGAATGGGGCGCTTGCAGTTGGAACAGATCCATGCTCCTTTTCTCTGCAATAAGTGTGATTGGAGTAATCCAGCATCCTTGGCTACTTCTTGGGGGCGACCCTTCATTCCCAGTGCACACATGACACATGGATTCGGGGGCACGCCTCAATCCCACCTTTTACCAGGCCATACTAAAAGCCTCAAATGGCTACTGAGGCTCTGCAGGGGCGGGGCTTAGTTCCATGTTGATGATCGCTTTTTTTTTTTTGCCTTCTCTTTGACTCCATCTAATGAAGGCCGGGAGAAGTTGCTGCAGGAAAAAATCATCATCGTTGGTGTGTAGTGCCATGTTTGCTCAGATAGTTAATGTGTGGTGTCCCGCGGGTGTTTGCAGGCTGCCTGTCCCATGCTGTCGCTCACCTAGTGTCAAAGTTCTGATTTCATGTGTCCAAGTCAGACAGGTCCTCTGTTAACACGGTGTTGTCTTCCTTTAGCGCCTGCAGCCTTTGTCGGACTCTGAGAACGAGGAACCGGTTAGAGCGCCTTACAGGTCGGCTTTTGTCTCCAAGAACAACGCAAGCTGCTCTACATCTCTGACATGGTAAGGTGACATTTTTAAAGCCTTGCTTTAGAATGTAGCCACAGCCTTAGTAGGAAAGCCTGTCCCCTGCCGCATGTTGCAGAGAAGGACCCTTGCCCTCTGTGTGGAAGCAGCGGTCTCTCTGCGGAGCTCCGGCATCTTTTTACTCTAGAATTGTTTTTAATGAAATAGTGAAGTGAAAGGTGTGCCGTGTGACCACATCCTCCGTTCAAAGACTTGCAAATCTGGGTCTGGAAAGCAGGTCTATGTGATCGGTTCTGCTTCTACCTTGCAGTACAGCCATAGCAGTGTGGGGGAGAAGAGAAGGGGGTAAATGTCTGTACTTTACCAGATCATTAAAGGTGATCTCCGGGTTCCCTCTGTGTGTCCCCCAATAGATCGCTGGCATCACAAAATAAAACCTAGAAGCCCCTTTCGTTGTAAACCTGTGGTCACATGATGTTCCAGTCCCGGGTCTTCCCTCCACTTTACAGTAGGGGGTATTCTTTTATTCATGTCCACATCACTGCCTGTGTGACATGGACACTTCCTATTGGCTGTCAAGTGTTGGGGTCCTCTCAGGATCCAGAAGAGGGGTGTTCCCTCCAGTGAAAAAATTTTACTTTATTGTTAGAGGCTTTGGGGAAATATCAGATCTAAACAGACCCCTGATATTTCCCTTTTTAAAATCGAAAAAGAGATTGAGGACACAGAGTCCTAAATTTCTTTTTCTGCAGCCCCTGATATGATTGAACAGGAATCCTCTATACTGAGTGCTCCTGTTCATTCATCACACATGGAGATAGTATGAGCTACTATGTCCCCCACCATGAACGAACAGGAAGTGATGTAGAGCGCTTCCTGTTCATTCATAACTGGGGACACAGTAAGCATGTCCTCAGTTATTTACAAGCACTCAGTGATTAGTACTGATTGCTGAGTGTTTTGTATTTCGCTCACCAGCCTGACTTCTCCGTCTGTCACAGGAGGCTGAGTGGTGCAGTGCAGGAGGAGAGATCAGCTCCTGTGACAGCTGACTCCTCCCTGCTCTCCTGCCTGACTTCTCTGCCTGTCACAGGAGGCTGAGCGGTGCAGTGCAGGAGGAGAGATCAGCTCCTGTGACAGCTGACTCCAGCCTGACTTCTCCGCCTGTCACAGGAGGCTGAGCGGGGCAGTGCAGGAGGAGAGATCAGCTCCTGTGACAGCTGACTCCTCCCTGCTCTCCAGCCTGACTTCTCCACCTGTCACAGGAGGCCGAGTGGGGCGGTGCAGGAGGAGAGATCCGCCTGTCACAGGAGGCCGAGTGGGGCGGTGCAGGAGGAGAGATCCGCCTGTCACAGGAGGCTGAGCGGGGCAGTGCAGGAGGAGAGATCAGCTCCTGTGACAGCTGACTCCAGCCTGACTTCTCCGCCTGTCACAGGAGGCTGAGCGGTGCAGTGCAGGAGGAGAGATCAGCTCCTGTGACAGCTGACTCCAGCCTGACTTCTCCGCCTGTCACAGGAGGCCGAGTGGGGCGGTGCAGGAGGAGAGATCGGTTCCTGTGACAGCTGACAGCTCTCCGTACCGCCTTGCAAAGCTGAAATCTTCTCTTCCCCCCGCTATGGTCTGGTCTGTGTCCCCTACGGATCTCTGCTGACACAGGCATCGAAGAACAGCGCCCAGTGGGGAGGAGAGAAGTTGGGGATGCTCTGAATTTTCGGGGCACATTTTCACCTGTTCTGGTATTTTCAGCATTTTGCCCATAGTACCATTTTCGGGCTGAATTTCGGTGCATCCCTAGTTTTTACACGATTCACACAACTTTCACCCAGGACACACACTTTCCCAATTGAATCAAATTAGAAAAATTTGATTTTACAGGAGGCTGTTGTCTATATATGTTTTCACCCACCATTCGAACAACACCCTTCCAAAGAAATGCTTTCAAGATCGCTATATAAAATAACGCATCCCCGGCATCTTTTTAGCCGTGACTGCTCCTCCCAGCCGGCCACGTGGTGCTCCAGACTTTAGCTGTGCGATCTGCTGATCTGTTACTTGATTACACTCCAATAGAGTATACCAAGCGACTGATTAGCAGACTGCGCAGCTAATGAGGAGCATACATGTTGAAAGGGATCCCTGGGATGTGTTCTTTTATATAATGCTCAACAACAGTATGATGGCAGTGAAAGCTAGTAGCTGTGAGATGGGGGAAGTAAAAGTGGGCTCAAGATAACTCCTACTGCCTCAAATGGTTATATTGTGGAGACCCAAGTTTACAGGGAAGCAAGTTGTCTGTTTCCACATAGGAGAGGGTGCTGACATTAGAGCCATAGGGCCAGGACATGAACATAGTCCTCCAATCCCATCATGAGATCGGAGCTTCTCATTCTAAAATGTCACTTTTGTTTTGTCTGTTAGGAGCATTCAGTCCAAACTGGAGCGCAGTCAGAGCTGCACCGACACCGTGACCGATGCCCCACCTCCAACGCGGCGGAGAGCCGCCCAGTCTCAGAAGACGAAGGTAAAGATATTGGCTTTTTTATCTCTGTATGTGAAGGTGACAATAGACTGGAAGGTAGGGATGCACTGATACTGGTTTTTCCGAATCCGGTACGAGTACCGATATTTTATTTTTTTTATCTATTGGTACTCATCAGAACCGGTGCCATGTGCCCCAATTATTAGCAAGACGGGCTTTGGATCCTGGGAAGCCGGTGTTTTATCGAAAGAACACCGGCTTCACTTCCTGAGGCCGTCTGACCAATCGGGAAGCTGGGATTGCGGGTCATGACGTGCCGTCTGGCTTCCTGATTGGTTAGAAAGCTGGCTCCATGCTCCCTCGGCACTGCCGGTCAGAGGGAGACGTTCCTCTGACTGCAAGTTCCGGTATAGAAGAAGGTTTCGGAGCATTTGGACGAGTACTCGGTGCATCCCTACTGGTAGGTCTCACATGCTTGTTTTTCTTCGAACTGCTGTAGTGCTCTTCCCATCAGATAGCAGTGAAATTTGTTTCCATGAGACTCGCATTTTCACATGTTTTCTGTTCAGTATTTGGATTCTTGACCTACCTATCGGTAAAGGTTCTGTAGTCATCATCTGTGGTTAGGGGCCCTCCGGAATGAATCCTGAAATGGCTAGCCGCCCCAGATGACACTCTTGTGTGGCTTGCGGGGCAGCTCCAGCGGCGTAATTGACAGCGGCTCCTCCAGAGATCCGCAGTGTCATATATGGCGCTGACCCCCAGGAAGGGAAGAGAACATCCTGCTGTGCTGTCTGCAGGTTGCGTCATGTGCTGCATCTAAGGCTAGCCATACACTGCCCAATTGTATCTCAATCAGGCCATATCGTTTTTAAAAGACTGTAGGAATGTAAAGTTCCGTTGTTACTGCTGGGTCATTTCTTTACAAGCACAATGTAGATGACACTATGAACGTAAAATATATCTAAATGTCATTTTGTAGCTTAGTGATTCTTGTGGTGGTTGCATTGGTTTTCTCTTTTCAGGCCTAACTTCCTGTAGTGAGCTGACCGTGCTGGGATTGACTGGGTTCAGCACTGTTTCTGTGACAGTGATCAAAGATAAAGGAAGGGAGGGAAAAGACTCCCAAGCCACCCAAAACAATAAAAGCCTGACCGATGATCTGTGGCCTTGTGTAGAAGCAACCACAGCTTGGAGTAGAATTGGATCTAGTGCTGCAAGCCCCTCGAGGGGGTTAAATGACAATTTGTAACTTGTGGGGTGATGCTGCTTCTTTATCCTTCCCAACAATTGCCAAACATAAAAAGTTTTATCTATACATTCACTTTCCAAAACCGCAATAGGAGAAATACCTTGACTTTTATTTCCCCTGATTATTGGAACTGAATGATGGGACTACACACATGCACTACCCAGGTAACTGCCAAGGGGTGGGTTGGGGGGGGCCCTTCATGGCTTCTTGCACCGGGACCCTGAGGTACCTAATTACGCCACTACCCCTGATTATTGGAACTGAATGATGACTATCCATTCCACCTAAACTATATAGATCTCTCTCTATATAGATAGATAGATCTATCTATCTATCGAGAGAGATCTATATATCTATATATATCCAACACTTTATTGATCATTGTTCTCCTTCTTTCAGGTTCCCGGTAATAACGGCAGCTTGGCAGGTGTCGCCGGCGTCCTGTTGTCTACAGAGAACAGCCGGTCGTTCTCGGCTCCCGTCCTCACCTCGGAAAGACGTCTCGCCATCAGCTCTCTGAACTCTTTCACGCCCTTGCATAAGCCGGAAAGGTCCATCAGCCCGGAGAGCAACGACAGCATTTCCGAGGAGCTCAACCACTTCAAGCCAATCGTCTGCTCTCCTTGCACGCCGCCCAAGAAACTTACGTGTTCCTCTTGCCTGCTGTACTACGTCTCTTTTCTTTATCATTTTGGCCGAAATGTTTTAATTTTTGTTCAAAGAACATATAAACTTAAATCTAAAATCCACAGCGGGCTCCCCGCAGCCTGACAGACCATCGTCCAGAAGCATCCACTTTATCTACTTTATAAAAAGACGAAGGGTTATTGTACTTAAAGGATAAGTGCACTTTAAGGCGAAAGTGTATTTAGCTGTGTTTACGCCCTGAGCTGACCTGACCCTCCCTCTCTATCAGATACGTACTGACCTCCATCCCATGGCTGCCGTTCTGCTGTTTGTTTACATCCAACGGTGCAAATCTTCACTCGGCTGGTCGTGTCTGCGCCGTTACAGCCCCATAGGCATAGGGCCAAGGCCAAAGACAACTGGAGACTATCCCATAGAAGTCTATGGGGCTGTAATGTGTGGCCAGGACAGGGAAGACTAGTGCTGAATGTATACAAACAGCAGAACGGCAGCAGTCAGATTGTGGCAAGTATACGTCTGTGGAGAGGAAGGGTAAGGGACGGGATCAAAAAGGACAAATCAGTCTTGCAATGCCTCATGGGTCTTGTAGTTCCACAACAGCTGGAGTGCTGAAGTTGCCTACCCCCATTACGGCTAATTATACTACACAATATTGTGTGTAAGGGTCTTTCCTCATTCAGTGTCATGTGCTGGGTCCTGACATGTGTCACATGTAGTGTTATGTGCTCAGTTCTGACTTGGCACTTCCTTTTAATTGAAGGAAGATTACATATTGGGGCTATGTAGTAGTTCCTTAGAACTGACACTGAAGAGAAATAGTCAGATACAATCTTTAAATTTGCAAAAAAAATAATAAATGCACCCAAATTATTAACCTAAAAATGTGCATTTATTACATTCTGCATTGGAGTCTGCAGAGCATTGCATCCATGATCAAGATATCATGTTGGCAGTGCGTAGGCTCCTGCAGACTCTTCCCCCCGGGTCTGTACAGAGGTTATGCAGCTGCAGGAAGTAGACACGGTACTACATGTGTAATATAAGATGGTGTCCACATACATTTGGTCATCTATAGCTCCCCGTTACAGATGAGCTCAGGTTTGGACTGAACCCGGAAGGAAGCTCATTCTGTGTCCCAATCAGCTGTGAGCGAGGAATTCCCCAACCCGAGCTTGATGTAACCAAAGGGGCGGAATGCAGTGATGTGATTGACCTTATATGGCCACATGCCTATATTTGGTCAATGATGTCAGCACTAGCATCCCACCCCTTTGTTTACATTCAGCTGCAGGGCGGGGAATTCCAGGGCTGCAGCTGATTGGTGGAAGTGTCCTTGGCACTGCCTTGTTCAGAGGAGCTCAAGTTCAGTCCCAACCTGAGCACATCCTTACTCCTCATGTATTTGCTCATGTCTTCTCCAATCTGAAGTCAGAGCAGCTTCAGTCCTGAAGTAGAACTGAAGCCATCTGTGTCCCATTGGGGACATTTCCCTTCACTTCCTGTCTGATGGCCACAACAGAAAGCGAGAGGAAATCCCTGGAGGTCAGCAGAAGCAGAGTTCCCATTGAAAGATTTCTGATCTATTCCTTTTTTGGTGACAACCCAAAATGGCACCAGGACCAATAGAGAGTGAATCTTCCTAACGGGGACACAGACATCAATAAAAACCTGACGGGGTCTAATCCCTCTCCATTCCATCCAAAAACAGTTTGGGCTTCAGTTGCACTTTATAGAACTCCGGGCATATGCAATCTTAACCCTTGCAGTGGATTTGTCTGCCCCGCCCACCTCACACAGCAAGGGTTAATTGCTGGTTTTGTCTAAGCTAAGACAAATCCAGCACTTAACCCATGCAGTGAGGGGGGGGGGGGTGTCTAGCCCTCTGCAAGGGTTAAGATTTCATGTCCCTGGAGTTCTTCCTGAATGGTTAGAGCAGCGCACCAGCTTAAGAGAGCTGCAGTACCATGTCTAGGGCTCCCTGTGGACCCGAAGGACCCATTCCCCATGTTGGGGCCCCGTATTTGTGATACCAGCGAGTGTTTTTGGTTCAGTGGTGAAGTTTACTCTTTTTGAATGTATTCTGCGCAGATCAGTATTTCCGCAGAGCGTCGCTCACAATTGCGCTCAATGGACGCCAATGTTGGAACACTAAAGGGGGGGGAGGTGACCCAACAATAAGAGGTCGCAGTTTTATTTTTTTCATGTTTTTGGAATTCATTTTCTTTAGTGAAGTTCTCCGGATCCTGCTCGAGTTGCACACAAATAAACCCGCCTTTTAGTTCTGGTACCGGATGGATGTGCATTTCTTTTTTTGCTGGAGATGTCCTTCATTATCCCCATGGAGAGGGTCTGCTCAGGAAGTGAGTTCACCTGCCAGGAATCCAGTTCTGTCCTGTGCACTCTGCGCTCTTATTTTAAACAATGTTGTCTGGAATTGTTAGGACTTCAGAACACCCCCTCCTGTGTTATGGAGAAGAGGGGCGGTTGTTCTGTAGTCTCAACACTTTCTGTTCTTGGTTGACAACACCTGGTCCTCCATAGATACAGATTGGTCAGTTTTGTTGCCTGAAAAAAGAAAATGAATGCAGCCACCACGGGTGAGGACTGCTGAGCTGCAATTTTTTAAAGCTGATTTCAGTTTAAAGGAGAATTATGAGATTAGTGTTTTTTCACTGAGCCGACCTGTGACAATGAGACTGTCACAGGTCGGCTCAGTAGATCGGGAGGTGAGCGAACACATAGCGGCGCTCGCTCGCTCACTTCTCGATCCTGTGCTGGCAGAGAGCCGTGACAGGGGAGGGGCTGGATTCCCCTCTCCCCGCTCTGATCATCCAGCGCTGACTGGCGGAACGGGAGGGGGCGGGTACAGTTGGCTCTGCCTCTAGATAGGCAGAGCCAGCTGTCACTCACGCAGCTGGGCGGATCCAGACATAATTGTCGGGATCCGTTTCAGCTGCGGCGTCTCAGTAGGGAGCTACAGCTCGCGGTATACTGAGCTTAGGGTGACGGGAGGACGCTAGTTTGTACCCTTCGGAGAACTATGGGGAAAAGCCCTGACCCCATAGTTCTCCTTTGAGGCTAGATTGGCACTATGCAATCTGGGATCCCCGCAGCAGGAATACCAAATCTGTAGCCACTGTCACCTATTCAAGTTAATGACTGGTGGACTGCGGCCGCATCTGTAGGTGGCATCCATAGTGTGTCCAGGGATAGTGATGGATTCCAGACTGCATGTAATCGCGTCACTTACAATGTACACGCGGACTGCCGCTTACAGATGTGGGCGCTGTCACCTGGTCGTTGAATTGAATGGGTGACCGCGACTGCATCTAAACGGGGGATTTGGTATTCCTGCTGCAGGGATCCCAGATTGCATAGTGTGAATGGGGCCCAATGGCTCACGCACAAGTCTGTATGAAAACACAGCAACTAGTAAACGGGATCGTGAGTACAAAGCGCTCTTTTGCGCCACGTTTACATGTGTACAGCGTTAGTGCAAAGGTGCGCGGTTGGTTGCTAGGATGATAGGCAGCTCCTTGCCGCCAAGTGTCCTTGTTTGCTAGGATACAAGTGTCTCCTTGCCACCTAGCATCATAGCAATAAAGGATGTCAGGCAGCTCCTTACTTCCTAGCATCCTTGGTTGCTGGAATGCAACCAGCTCCCCGTTACACAACGTCCTTGGTTGATAGAAATCAGGAGGCTTCTTAGCATCCTTGGTTGCTAGGATGCAGGCGGCTTCTTGCTTCTTAGCATCCTTGGTTGCTAGGATGCAGGCGGCTTCTTGCTTCTTAGCATCCTTGGTTGCTAGGATGCAAGCGGCTTCTTAGCATCCTTGGTTGCTAGGATGCAGGCGGCTTCTTAGCATCCTTGGTTGCTAGGATGCCGGCGGCTTCTTGCTTCTTAGCATCCTTGGTTGCTAGGATGCAGGCGGCTTCTTGGCATCCTTGGTTGCTAGGATGCAGGCGGCTTCTTGCTTCTTAGCATCCTTGGTTGCTAGGATGCAGGCAGCTTGCTTCTTAGCATCCTTGGTTGCTAGGATGCAGGCGGCTTCTTGCTTCTTGGCATCCTTGGTTGCTAGGATGCAGGCGGCTTCTTGCTTCTTAGCATCCTTGGTTGCTAGGATGCAAGTGGCTTCTTGCTACCCAGCGTCCTAGCAATGTAGGATGTTAGGCGGCTCCTGCTGCTTACTGTCCTTTATTGCTAGGACTTGGTCAGCTCCAATAAAGTTAATTTACACTGCACCCGTGTCAATGTTGGCACAAAGGATAACATACAGTGAGGAAAATGATGATTTGATCCCCTGCAGATTACATAGAAATGAATATCAACCAAAAATCCAGAGAAGTCACATGATACAAATGTTATAAATGGAGTTGCAGTTCAGGGAGTAAAATAAGTATTTGATCCGCTACCAACCAACAATAAATCTGGCTCCTCCCACAGACTGGCTATGGGGTCTGGCTAGATGAGTCCTGTCACTTTAAGAAGGTGCTCCTAACGACAACTCGTTATGTATATAAAAGACTCCTGTCCACAGAATCTCTTTCTTCCATTCGCACCTCCCCCACCATGGGCAAGACCAAAGAGCGTCTGAGGACGTCAGGGACAAGATTGTAGACCTGCACAAGGCTGGAATTGGCTACAAGACGATCAGCAAGAAGCTCGCTGAGAAGGAAACAACTGTTGGAGCGATTATTGGCAAATGGAAGGAATACAAAATACCTATCAATGGCCCTCGGTCTGGAACTCATGGGGTGAGGATGATCATGAGAAAAGTGAGGGATCAGCCCAGAACTACACGGGGGGAGGAGCTTTTGAATGATCACAAGGCAGTTGGGACAACAG